GATTTTATGAATAAATTATCTCTAATTGGATGCTGTCAACAAGTTGTCATGATCAATTAAACTGCCACTAATAGTCACGTGATAGAAGTGCAGCACGTTTTCCTTTGCATCACGCGATTAGTCTGTCACGCGTAATCGATTTGTTTGTAGTGGAAGATGTCTTCAAAAAAGAAACGCTAAAGATCATGTCCTTTTTCAAGTACAAAGAAGGCACCGAAACGGAAAACCTCAGAGGTACATGTATTTCATAAGGAATTGGCTGAAGCACTCGCCGCTAGTGAGAAAGGCTCATACTTTGAGCAAGATAAATTGCTAAACTTTGACGGTCTTGACGAAGTACAAGACAAAGCGGTTCCCGTTTTCAGTGCCAGCTGTTTGAAAGCCGTTTGAAAGTGTAACGAGGGTCTGCAAGAGACGGAATGTGCTGTAAATAATAAAGAAGCCAAAGTGGTGTATTATTACACTTCAAAACCTTCTGATTGTTTCAAAATATTCACAGCAAAACAATTCGACTGCTAAACATTCCATTTACATCTGTCCTATATTCCAATATGCGCTGTCATGTTTTCTAAACAGTCTTGAGTTGCAGCCGCTCCTTTTGAGCACAGTTCACCTTCGAGGCTCCCAGTTTTCACAATATATATCCCAGCATTTTACAGCACCACGTCATTATAGAAGATTCACCGTGGTTCTTCATTTGTCCTCATTTGTGGAAGATTCAAAAAACACCAAGCCTTGCCACCTTTACAGAGTGAAAAACTGTTACAATATTCTTTTTGGTGCTTTGCAGATACATGGCTGATTGTCCACCCAAGGTAACTCAAGCGCTTCACTGAAATTCTGAATAGCCAACTAATATATACAGTACAGCTACTAATAGTAGGTGTAAAAGGCGGTCTTACCCTGATACTCTCATTTCCAAAAGCATGGTTTCTTTTGCGGATTCGCTGTTCAAATTCCCATTGCTTCCTCCATCGCACTTTTTAGATCCCTTAGTTTTAGCATCGTAAAGTTATTGCATTCAGTGCTTCCAAAACTGCGAGTGTAGCGGCAGCACAGAGAGCTTTGTTGGTATTTCCCACCAGAAACAGCATTTGAGACTGCTTTGCGGGACAATACGTAAATGCGAGTTCTATTGTCTAAGTAAGAAGAGCCCTCACTTTATCGATCAACAGGTAATTATTTTTCACAAATTTTGAGATCTTATCTCCCTACACCGGAAAAACGCCCTAAAGTACATTTTGCTTTATTTCTCAAAACTAAAATTTCAACTAATGAGGCACACGTTTACAGTTCGTTTACAGTGAGTTTTCATCCTTTTTCGCTGAAATTCGGCAAGAATGTTGCCCAATAATGTGGCAAAAAAACTGGGTCAGGGAATTTTTAATTTTTGCCTCCTTTGAAAGTAATGAGTATTTAAGCAAAGGTAATGCGTGTTTTATAAAAACTTAAAGTTTAACAGCGTATTAAAAACAAACCGCACAAGTAATCAAAATCCCCCGCCATGGTTTTTTAGATCAAGGTGTGAAGAAGACGTAGTGATGTCGCTCGCTTTTTCCCGTTAAATTCTAACCGGAAACGAACTCTATTTGTGAAACTACATACTTTTGGAAAACGATCATTATTTTAGGAAAGGCTTCTATTTCTTGCCTTATATCAAGTAATAATCAGAATCTGCATTTACTAAGCTTTCAGAAAATATGTACTTTATTGGGGGTTTTATGAAAC